GGCAAGCCGTGCTTGCTGCCAGCCAGTCCCTTCCCCCTGGCTCACATCCAGGGCTTTAGGCACATCATGGATGACAGGTCAGGTCTCAGTCACACTCATATTGTGGCCAGGCTGGAGCCACCCTCCTGACCCATTCTCACTGCACAGCAAGCAGCACAATGCTCCCTGCTTCTTTCAGCAACAGGAGCCAGCTCTCTACCAGCATCTGGCAAGGGGTCTGCCCAAAGGCAGCTTCAGAAATGGTTAACCTCTCCAGAGGATGGTCTCAGGCCATATCAGAAGACTCACTAGAGTGTCTGCTCTCCATCAGACTATAGATACCCCAGAGCAAGGCAAACTGGCTGTGCGAGCTGGACAGCAAGGTACGGGGCCAGGCATACTGGGGAGATGCTGGCATGGCTGGAGCCACTTCCACTGATTAACTGAGGATAAGCAAGGGCAGCAGAATGACTTACTTTCCTCTGTGGTACAAGAAGGCTCAGGAGACTGGTTTCTTTCTGGATGGGCCTGCTCTGCAACTGAAGGCTTCAAATAGAACAGGTCTGCAAACAGGAGCTGCCTGTTTGTTCCCCACTGAGGGGCAAAAGAGGGGAGAAGATGGACAAAACAACCCCAGACACCCACCCTGTGGCCGTTGCCCGAAGACAGCGGCTCTGGGTGCCAGACTGTCAGGCAGGAGCCCAGTGGTGCTGAGCCCACGTCACGGCTGGGACGGAGCTGCATGGAGGACTCTGGCAGGTTGCACAGTTGTCCCGGCTGCTCCTCCGCCGTGTGCTGCGGAAAGCACAGTGCAGCGATGCTGCCAGCAGTGAGTTGCCATAGCAATCCCCCCAAGCATGGCCCCCCCTGCCTCCCTCCTTTGTCTCTGCTCCCCCAAGCCTTGCTGTCCCCTCCCTGCTGCCCCACAACACCCAAAGGCCTCAGCATGCTCCCAAAGGGCTGTTCATCACCCCGAGGAAGAAGAGGGGCCAGAGGTGGAAGCCCACCCCAGCAAGCCATCATCTCCACTTGCTTCATGAGCAAGGCGCCTACTCCGGAGCCGGGTGCATCACACCCCACTGTGCTCAGCCCCGAGGCGTGACACAGAGCAGCCAGACGTGGGGTGTAGAGGGTCCTCTAGCTGCGCTTCCCATTGTGCTGGCACTGCCACGCAGCTCCTGTCCAGCCCAGCCCAGCACAACATGGCTGCCGGCAGGTCAGAAAGCCCCGTGAGCTCTTTCCACCTCGTGGCAGCACCAGGTTTGATGGAAACAAGGGTCCCCAACACTCCTAAGTCTGCTTTCCAGTGCCAGCCCATTTCCACTTCATGCAAGTCTGTTCTGCTGCACCGAACCTCGCTGCGGCTTGAACCAGAAATAGGATCCTGCTTCACTTCCTGTCCTAAAAACTGTTGTCTACCATTGCTACGTGCCACTAAATAATTACCCAAGCCAGCATGTAAGCAGAGTTCCTCTCCCTTTCACCTCTCCCACACAGGCACAAGATGCAAGGGGAAGACAAAGGACCCTGCTGAACCACAGTCAGGTGTGATACCTGCCAATACCCTTCAGTGAATGGTTTCAGTGACTTAACAGAATGGATAAAAAAGAACTTCTAAAAGTTCTGCTTCCCTTCCCATTCTGTCCTTCCCCAGACATAGTAGGGCCCAGCACAACCAGTTACATCATTTGAGGGTTATAGCAGAAGCTAGCGAAACCTTGGTCCTCATCCAGAATGAGTCATGGAGCTCAGGAGACCATGCAACTTCCTTCTGATACCATCAACTATGTCTTAGGCTAAAAATAAAGATGGGCCAAAACTGCAGAGCCACATCTTGCCTCAACATGAAACAGCAAAGCTCAGCCCTAAGCTCAACACTGCTGAAAAATCATCTGAAAAGGTGGAAACCAAAAAGTGCAGAGAGGCCAGAAGTCTTGTGTGTACAAAGAAGGGAGAGACCAGGAGGCCTCACCCTGTGCTGCGCTGGAGGATGGGGGTGGCAGATGCCAAGCAGTCACCCAGCTGTACAGAGAGGGCCAGAGCTGGGCTCTCACCTCACTCAGCTGTGGGCTCTGGAGTATTTCCACACACAGAGGCTTCATGGAAGGGTGTTTTCTGCACCACTTGCGCCCACCCAAGACAAAAGGAACTGACTGCTTGCAAACAGGAAGGATGCTGCATTTTTGGCAGGAGGAGTCTGGAAAGCCACAGCCTGCTTCTGTCGTGGTTTCAGCTGGGATAGAGTTAATTTTCTCCCCAGTAGCTAGTACAGTGCTGTGTCTTGAATTTAGTATGAGAATAATGTTGATAAACTGATGTTTTAGTTGTTGCTAAGTAGTGCTTATCCCAAGTTAAGGGCTTTTCAGTTTCCCATGCTCTGCCAGTGAAGAGGTGCACAAGAAACTGGGAAGGACTACAGCCAGGACAGCTGATCTGAACTAGCCAAAGGGATATTCTATACCATAGGACTCAGTAAATAAATGGGGAAGGGTTGGCCAGGGTGACCAATCACCTCTCGGGGACTGGCTGGGCATCAGTCAGCAGGTTGTGAGCAATTGCACTGTGCATCACTTGCCTTTTCTTGGGTTTTCTTTCCCTCTTTTTGTTATCTCCATTTTCATTGCAATTATAATCACTATTATTATATATTAACTATTAAACTGTTCTTTTCTAAATCCATGAGTTTTACCTTTTTTCAGATTCTCCTCTGCATCTCACTGGGGGGGAGTGAGCAAGAGGCTGCACGGTGCTTAGTTGCCAGTTGGGGTTAAACCACAACACTTTCTACCGCACAATGCATGGGCCCACAAAACAAGGTCCAAAGGGTGCTTGGTGCTAGGGCTAAAAAAAAAAGTGTCACATATACATCTGATACAGCTTAGACACTTTAGGTAAGTGAGGAATTCAAAGTTCCTCCTAACCCCTGGGACACTATGCTCTAGCAAAACCTTCGCACATGAGGATACAGGACTCTCACATAGCTCTTAGCAGGGAGTTGCAGGATCGAACACAAATAGGAGCTCAGAGGGACACCGGCAATGTTCAGAGACCTAAAATTAGCCTCAGCAGATGATCCTCTGCTCCATTCTTGGGAGCAGTGAGAACCGAACAAGGATCCAGCTGTCCCAACACTCCTATGAACAGGATCTTTAAATGCCCGACCTACTTGCAGCAGAGATGGTAGGGCAAAGAGAGGATTCCTCACATAACTCCAGTACCAATACTCACGAGGAACCTGGGGCCCCCTCTCTGAAGGGGGGGTAGCATTTCCTTGGGGTTTCAAGCTGAAAGAAGACCTACTCTTAAATCAGCTGGTCAGACCAAGGGGGAATGGCAACCCACACATTCTAAGAGCAGGCTGAAGGATGTTAGGCTGACCACTTTCTGTTGAAGCTGTAACTTCCACTTTATTCAGTCTTTGAGTTTGCCAGCAAAGCATTCCTTCCCATTCCCAACAGAGGCTCTGCAAGTCTATCCAAGGTTCTGCAAGCTGTACCAGCTTCCACTTTACTGCAAGCTCCACTAAACTGAACTACCATGGTTAACTCAGCCCAAATATAAGTTCACTGATATCACTTGGGTTAGGTGATATCCAAACCAGAGAGAAGAGGCTCATGGTATGACCAAGTAATGGGAGAAGCTGCAGCATTACACATATGTGGGAGATTTGCTGTCCCTGGAGGTATCAAGCTCTTTGGTCAATAGCTGGGGTGGAAGAAAAGTGGATCCAACAAGATGAGCCTTGTGTTAAAATGCCTCTTGCCAAAAGGTGGGGGAGCTCTGAGAGGATGATGTGAGCTTGGTGGACTGGGATCTGCAAGCAGCTCCAGCAGAACCAAGGCCAAGCCCTTCCTCTGGTCTTAGCGATATAATGTGTCTGTTTTCCATCACTAAGGGAGATCTAAGGTCCCAGCATGGAGCAGGTATATTAGTGATTGCAATAACTGAGCTGGATAAAGGGACTGCTCTGCTGCTACCATGCTGTATAGTTGTGAGTCCGCAGCACACAGCACTGGTATAAGTGAAAGACATCTTACCTCCTTCCTTTTAACTTCCCAGGTAAATCTAGCCCTGCCTCACTGTCTGTGGGTACAGCATCAAGCTGAAGGATGAGATGGCCCGAGGCCCAGTCTCCAGCTGTCTCTGGACTGGCCCCAAACTTCCCTGGCAGACACTTCAGAGGAAGAGCCACGCAGCCTGGGCAGCCACGTGTCCTAAACAGGAACTTCCCCATAGAACCTCTCCTGGCCAAATCGTACCTGAGCTCTGGGGTGAGAAAAGGGCTCTGCCTGCCCCCCACCCCCCAGAGGCAGAGTGCTGATGAGGGCTCCCTTCCCAGTGAGGACACGGTGTGCAGGTGGGACAGCACTGCTGGATCCCAGGCAGGCATGCAAGCATCCAAGCACAGGAATGGGATGGGAAGGTGGCTGACAGGGACCAGGCTTGGTTACCTCGGAGCAGCGAGGGCCTGACCTTCAGATTTCTTGAGAGCGGCAATACAAAGACTACCAGACCTCCTGAAACACTTCATTGTCACTCTAAGCCTCATACACCATGGCCAAAGGCCTCCTCAAGCTACAAAATCCTGGGAAAATGCAGGCAGAGATCAACTGGTTCTGACAGAAAGCCGGATCACGTCTGCCACGAGCTCTGGGTGAGGTCTCAGCTCTGTTTGTTCAGGTGAAGGACAGCAAGCAGCAGAGACCAGCAGCTGGGAAACGCTCCCATTCAACACTGCTGGTATGCAGAAGGACAAGTGCAGCAAGCAGCACAGACTGTAAGGTCCCAAGGGCTTAAAACAGTCTGCCCTTGAGCTCCCAACAACTGTGTGCAGGGTTCAGTGGTCTTAACAGTACCGGTCGCACACATCCAGGCTCCCTTTGACACACTGACAACCAGGTGGGAGGCAGGAGCACCTAGCAAGCCTGAGCTGTGGGAGCACCTCACTGGGTGACATCTACTCTACAGAGCCATGCCTAGGGACGAAGGGGAGGCCTGGTGACAACTGAGCGGGTGCTAACCTTGTTGTAGGGTTGAAGCAGACAGGAAAGGAGCTCTCAGCTGTCAGCACACGCAGCGTGGTCTTGAGGTTGCTTGTTCCAGCTGCCTTGAGTCACCTGGAAAGACAAGTGCACAGACACATGTTCAGATCAGCTAGGAAACGGCCTGCCCACACAAGAAGACCTACTGAACACGGGGTGGGCAGTAATTGCTCATCCAAGCCAAGCGAGTTAGTGGCTTACGCACAGAAGCGAGAGACCCCGAGCACCCCAGCACCTCCAAGATCCTGCTGTATCTTTTACCAGTGCTGAGGCTGCCCCTCCAGCTGCAGCGCTGACTCCCTCCCAGGGTTCCAGTTATCACCCCAGCTCCCTACGTGACGCCGGGTGCCTGCACGGTTGGTTCCTCAGAGAGGGCTGCTAAGGTCGCTGCCACCGTCCTCCTATCCAAGATTCCAGTGGTAAATAAAGGCCTTCCTGTGCCCTTGGCTTTGTTCTCTACCCGTGCAGCTGTATGTTGCTCCACCACACAGGCTTTGCTGGTACTCGAGTGGATGCAGTGGCATATGGTTTACCTGCAAGAACAGGCTCTGGCTGTGTCCCCACAGGCCACCTACTAAACCACCCCGCAGGGACACGGAACCGGGGCAGGGAGGGCCAAATCCACTGCTGGAGAGACACTGCTCTCAACAGCCCAAACAGACCAAGCCAAATCCAATGCCGCAGCGTTTCCCAGGATACAGCAAAGGGGGAAAACGACAACTTAATAGAAATCTCCGAGAGGCCTGCCAACGCCATCACAAAGACATTAAGACTCCTCCCCAGGATCCCAGTGCTGTAATTACAGACTACTGGAGATCACACTGTGTGGGGACTGCTAGGTCCTCGTGCCCAGCAGGTCCTAAAAACCAGGACGGTTATCAGCCTCCCAAAACCCAGGTCTGATATTGCCCTGGCCACAGGCACAATGAGCAAAAGCTGCTTAGGGGCAGTCCCTCCCTGCTCACCACCCTGCAGTACCACGAGCAGCACAACCCAGCTCCGACCACAGCTATAGCACCAGTGAGCAGAGCACTGCGGGCAGCCACACTGGTGGTCCCCCAGAAACACAGCCGTTACACTAGGATGCAGGGAGGCACTGCCACACTAGCTTACTGGTGCACTGGCCCTTAAAACAGTCATGAGGGCACCCGGAAAGTTTGTGTTTAATGTCACCTGCACCTACACAGCTAGCAGGTCAACCTGCACCGGTGTTCCAGGAGACGCCTAACCTGGAAGCTGTACCAGCTAGTCACCAAGGCTATGTTTTTGGAGAGCTTACAAGCAAAAGATGACCCAGTAAGTGTAGCATGTGTATATGTAAATACACATACATTTGGAACCCTGCACCAGTTTCCTGGCTCTACCACACTATCTTTCAGAGAAGGCCCAAAAGGCTCTAAGCCCGAGCAGTGGCATGAATTGCTTTGGATATGGCTGAAGCACTGCCACCCACATACTGCTGGAGCACAGGAAGCAATGGCAATGTATCTGACAGGGATGGGTTGAAAACACTGCTCAGGAAGAATGCAATTACCTCAAATAGGCTGAGGCCAAGAGATCTGAATTATCACCTTGACCTTGACTCTTGCGTAAAGGGCTTTGCATTGTCTTTCACTTCCAACAAGACAAATCACGGAGTCGACATCAGCCCTGGCCCAGGACATGGATTCGTTACTGAAAAGCACTTCCAGCTGAATCACTAACTGTACTTTTTGCAGCACACAGGACTCATTTGAAGGCTTCCTATCCAAGTATTGTTCTACCATCAGGCTGCTTAGCTGGGGGGGTGTACCGGCCACAACACAGGCAAGTATGACTGCAAACCACCAGCCAGTCCTGAAAAGGCTCTCTGAAATGCAGAGCATGTGAGCTCAGCTGCTCTTCATTCAGGATTCGCTACCAGCTGAAGACACCAACAGAAACAGGGGGAAAACATGTTAATTGGCAGCTGGGCATTCATGAGGCCAAGCAAGGGAGGCTACAAAAGAGAGGAGCAAAGGCAAATGGAGGATAAAGATTTGCAAAGACACTTCCCAGTCAAACAAAATAATTTTTAAAGCAAACCTCAAACTTTGTGAGACCAAGTTCTCTAGAGGTTACATTCACCTGGCTCACTTGCTTGTGAGGAAAAGCAAAATGGAAAAACAAAGGAAGAGAGGAGGGAGTGGGGCTGCCAGGCGCTGCAGACAGGAGGAAGGATCAGAAACATGCAATGGTGGTACCAGGATGCAGGAACCTACACAACCCGCTGGAGAAAGGGTGTCCCTGGGAGTGATGCAAGGTGGAGAGGCATCAAGCAAAACCCTCTCACAGAAGAGTCTCACTGCCAGTAACCCACAACACCCCCCCCTCCACAAGCCACCTGTTAACTTACAAAAGGCTCCCTTGTGGAGTTCTCCAGTGTTGCCCTTCACACCTGTCCTGATTCAAACCTGACTCATTAATTCCTCCATCCATGGAAGCCTCCGATAATTTGATTACAGCTCCAGTGACAGTGTGCTGAGGACACCCCTTTTTTTTAACGAATGCAGCTTCACTTTCTCCTTTCACATCTGTGGTCGCATACCTATGAACAACACATTTTCTCATTCTGCATCCAGGAAGTGTCCTGGCCCCCAGGCGCTGTGTATTTCCACACAGCACACAGTGGTGCCTACCAAATCTAGAAGGGGACAAGCGTGGGCAGGCCCAGAGCAGCAAAGGCAGGTAAGGGGCTCAGGAAGAGTCAAGAGTCATTGACTTTCAAGAGTCAGAACAGTAACTATCCCCTCGAACCACCCTCAGACCCAGAAGCAGTGGGGAAGGCTGGAGTGTCCCTGTCCTCTGCCACTCAGCACAGCTGTGCAGAAACAGGCCAGGGCAAGCAGCTGGTAGCAGACACCAAGGAGAAAGACCAGTGACACAGATGTGCTTCCCTGCCCTCAGAGGTCCCTCGAAACCAGGGAGGGAATTTCCTTTCCTCCTTCTGCTCTGCATGCTCAGAAGACCTGAAACTGGTAAGGAAACAAGGAGTGGGAAAGCTCTGAACCAAAGCAGAGGGAGGGTGTAAGTCCTGGGGGCTTCATCTGCCTTGGAGGAAGCTTCCAGAAGCAAAGCAGCAATCCTACCAGTAAAATTAAAATGGTCACTGTTAAAATGTTATTTCCTAAAGTCCATTTCTGAAGAGGGCAGACGCAAAGGCCAGACCACCAAGAGCTTCTCTGCCCAGCTTGCCGCAAAGGCAGGGGAGCCCCTCAGCAAGTTGCGCCTCGAATAGCAGGGTCCCCAAAGTCAGGGCAGGGTGACCCCACCAGCTCTCCTTTCAGCGGTGGGTAAGAAACCTCTCACGGGGGGAGGAACAGAAAGAACTCAAGTGGCAGAGCTGAAATGGCCCCAGCAAGCCCAGCTCTCCAAGGACCACAGCTCTACGGCTGGGGCAACAGGAGAGCTCTGCTGTCCCCACACATCCTGGCCACCCCAAGCGTTACGGCCCCACGAAAAGTCAGCAGGAACCCTGCCAAACTACAGGAGCAGCTGCTCCAGATAAGGCAAAGGCACGTGCTGTCTCCTCTGCAAGAGACACCATGGCGGCGGTGTCCCACTGATCCAAACCTGTACAAATCTCCCTGCCCACCCAGCTCCCAGCGCTGCCCTCGGCACCCCCAGAGCTGCCGGGAGGCTTCAGGGATGCCCAGGTGCCTACCAGGGCCCCGCCGCTCGCTCGACCCGCACGACGTGAGTTGCTGCTGACGAGGCTTTAAAGGATGACTTAATTCTCACGGTCTTTCCAAAGCAGAGCCCAGCCAAAAGTAACTGTAAGTGTCACATTGGGAGTTTTCTCCCATTTCACCTGCCAGACCTTATGCACCTTCTGCACTTGTTACCAAGTGTGCTGAGACTCTCCTTTGTGTCAGGGTTTGATCCTGCTACACCCTCCACAAGGTCCCAACTTCCCCTCTTTGCTGAGGCTAACAGACGCAGTTAGGGGCAGAGGACGGGTCCATAAGCAGATCTTTGTTTGCGTGATGCTTTTTAAAAAGACACTGAGTGGATGCGACTTTTAAAATACCCGAAGACACGGCACGGCATTCCTCTACCATACACTTCCCGCAGCAGCTGCAAACTCCACGCTCCTTCCTTAAAAAAATAAAAGTCTGGAAATCCCAGATATAAGTCGACAACTCTCATACGCACCACCCGATGGATCATGTTCACGGGTGGGTTGCTAGCAAGCCCACCAGCCCAGCTCCCATCAGGTGGTCCTCCCCTCTGTCTCCCCTAAGGCACAGCAGCCTTCTAAACACATCTGGGGCTGCCAAGAGGACGCTGTGCACCGCCTGCGTGATTTTTGTAGAAACAGGGCGCCTCGGCCACAGCGTAATGCTTGAAAACCTCACCAGGTCTGCTGCTGATGATTTCGGGTGGGTAAAACGTACCCCACGATGGGTCCTTCCGCCTGTGGCGGCTGTCACCAGAGGGCAGCAGGCCTCCCGCCGCGGATGCTGGGGTTCACATCCGCTCCAGCGCTGTTTTTTTGCAGACCCACGCTGAAGGCTGCGATTTACCCACGGCGCAGGTGTCGGTCGCGATGAGCCGCCAAGCCCTCCCCCCCCCCCCCCCGCCTCGGTGGGCTGCGTGTCCGGGGCCACGGGGCGGCCCCACCGTCACGGGTCCCCTCGGACACGGGCCGTCCCGGGGGACGAGAACAGGCGGCGAGTCCCAGCCGGGGCTCGGTTTGAGCTGATGCCCGGGAGGAAGAGGAGGAGGAGGCGGCCCCGTCCCGTCGGGCAGAGCCGCGGACAGGCTGTCCCTGACTACGGCACAACTGTGGGGACGTGGCCTCGGTGGGAGAGCCCGGGGCGGGTGCGGGGGGAGCACATCCTCCCTGAGCTGCCGGGAGCCTTGGCGTGATGGGGGGGGGGGACTGACACCCAGGATGGGGGGGGACCCCACAGAGCGTGTGTGTGTGTCCATCCAACCCCACCTCTGCCAGACCTTCCCATCACAGCCCCCCCCCCCCCCCCCAGCCACCGACCCCGCCGGCAGACGGGGCACAGCGTCTCTACCACTGCCCCCCCCCCCCCCCCCCTTCCAAAAAAAAACCACTCTGCGGTCATGCCACCACCCCTCGCAGGCTGTGTGGGGGTGAGGGGGGGGGTGTGTGTGTATGCCCCCGTTCTGGCACCTCCTGCTACAGCGTCCCCCCGGTCTCATTGCCCACCCCCCCGGCCGGTCACAACACTCCCAGCTACATCCCTCCCCCCCCCCCCCCCATTTCACAGCCCCCCCATTTCGCAGCCCTCCCCACTCCGGTCACACACACCACCCACTGCAACCCCCCCCCCCCCCCCTTCCCCTCAGCGCTCACTCCCCCTCCCCTCTCCGATCAGGACCCCCCCAGTCCCATTCTCCCCCCCCCCCCCGAATCTTCTGGAACCGGGACGGGGCGCATTAACCCCTCCCACGCCGGACAGGCGGCCCGCCGTCCCGCCCAGCCGGTGCGCGGCTCTGCCCCGTGTGTCTCCCCCCTCCTTCCCCGGCCGTGCCCGTCGCGGCCCCGCCGGACCCGCCAGCGCCAGCACCGCCTCCGCCTTGTCGTCGTCGTCCTCCGCCTCCTCTTCCTCCGCCGCCGCGGCCCCGAGAGCTGCGCGGCTCCGTCCGCTCCTTCCGGGTTGCCGGCGGGGACACGCCCCCGCCAGGCCCGCCTCCCCCGCGCTGATTGGTGCGATGGGCGGGGCGCGGCGCGGGGGGGGGCGTGCGGCGGGGCGGTGCGGCCAATGGGGCGGGCGGAGGGATGATGACGCGCCGCTCCGGGGTTCCGCCCCCTCCACGTGCGGGTGTGTGATGACAGCGGGGAAGGGGGCGGTCCCAGGCGAGGCAGCTCCTCATTGGTCGCCGGCGGCGGGGGCGGGGCCTGACTCAGCTCTGGGGCCGGGGGTTGCCATGGCCCTCACCCTTCCCCTCCGACCCCAGATCGCCCACGGCCCCGCGAGGCGTGACGTGTCCCGGCCCCACGGGCATTCCGCAGCTCCCACGAGCGCGGCGTGTCCCCCCCAACTGACCCGGCACCCCCCCCCTCCGCCCCATGGCCACAGCCCCCCCCCGGCACATCCCACACCCACCCCCCCCGCAGACCCCACGGGCGCGGCGTGTCACACCCAACCGGCACGGTACATCCAAGCCCCGCAGACACCCTCCTCCCCACAGCCTCGCACGTGCAGCGTGTCCCAGCCCCACAGACACGGGCCTCCCCCACCGCGGCCCCATGGGCATGGCCTTCCCTAGGTAGGACTCCCAGCATGTCCTCCACCCCACGAGCATATCCCGAGTGGGACCACCCCACTACCCCGCAGGTGGTGCCAGTGCCCCATAGGCAGCCAGGCTGTGGGTGCAGGACCCACGGGGGCAGCTGCCCCCAGGAAATGGCTGCTCGGAAATATTTCAGCACCCAGCAGCCGTGGGGCAACCGGGGCTCCGCCACCCACCAGTGGGGACACGGGCAGGACCCCATTACCCCAAGGGGCAGCAGCCCGGAGCTCACCAGCCTGACCGCGGGCTGTTCGAATCAGGGAAGAGTCGCCTTGACTTCAGCAATTTTGGGTGAAGCTCGGCAAAGAGCAGCTCCCCAGCCGACTCACCTCGCTCTTCAGCGAGCCGCAGCTGCAACGCCACTCTAAAAATAGCAGGGACCGGTACCGTCAAATGATAAATATAACCAAGATCTCGTCTTCTGACGGTGCTAGTGTGCAGCAAGCTGGATGCGGACCGGGAGCACCCTGGCTGCTGAGCCCCCATGCCCCCCTTGCCTTGCTGCCGGACCGGAGACATTATTTTCAGAGGTGCTGTCATGGACAAAACCGTGCCAGGTGCTCTCTGGGAATAGCCGTGTTCAGGGGGGCGGCAGGATGGCTGGCCCTTCCACAACCCTGCCCTACACGTGCTTTTCTGCATGCAGAAATGGCAGCTATATGTGCTGCTGCGTGGCCGTGGAGCAGCTGCCAACACAGGACCTCATCTCCTCCTGGGGCCTCAGTTTGTTATTGTACAAGGTTTCTCACTAAATATCCCCTGGCTGTCCCCAGATTCACGTTGTGGGTCACTAAGGGGTATTTAATGTATGTAGCATTTTAATTTCTGAGCGTGATGGCAGGAACACACAACCCTCTGGTGCTCCTGGTTGTTTAGGAGCTGCTCCTTCAAACTGCACGTACAGGTGCCAGTTTCAAGGAGGAAGAACTCAGTTCCCCTGCGCCCCTGCTCGTTTCTCACAGCATGAGTTTCCTACCCACTTCCAGGGCAATATTCAGCTTTTCTGTCCTTTTGGCCTTG